AGAAGAGAAGGAAGCGAAGAAGAGAAGAAGGAATTGAGGGATGAAACCCTCTTTAATGGTCTCACATGCAGAGCACACAGCACACAGTGAAATGTGTTCTCTGCTTTTAACCCATCCTAGTACCAGGAGTCTAGTACTAGGAGCAGTGGGCAGCTATTGTACAGCGCCCGGGGAGCAATGGGAGTGAGGGGGGAAGGGGGATGTCCGGTGCCTTGCTCAAGGGCACCACGGCAGGGCAGGAGGTGAACTGGGACCTCTCCAAATAGAAGTCCACACTCCAAATGTAGGTCTAGTTGGGGACTTGAACCGGCGACCCTACGGCTCACAGTCCAAGCCCCTACTGACTGCCATAGATTTAGTCCCTAATTTTGCTCTCAAAATGGACCAGATTGATGCATTTAACTTCAACATTTAAAAACAAATCTTCCCGGGGGAGCTTGCCCCCGGACCCCCCTAGAGGAGGTGAGGTCCACCACCTGCCCACACCCCCTGTTAAATTGTCTCACCCACATTGAGGATGCTTCCTACGCCCATATTTTATTCCATGTGTCAAGTCAGGCAAATTGGGTCAAAATGTTATTGCATCAATGATCTGTTAACATTAAAATCACTAAATATATGCCGTAACTATTTTGCTCTATGCAACTCAAGGGCTCAGGTAATGTGATTACTATATGAATAATGGTCCAAAATAACATAAAATGCATAGGGTTTTTTGTTAAGTAACATACTTTCGTCGCCGGCCGGCCGATACATCCCGCGCATTAAGTGGGCCTGTCTGTCAATTAACCCCCGGGCCACTTTTCCCCCCCAGTCCGCCCCTGAATACATCTCTCAACACCCATATGAAACAGAACTGTAAACAGATTTACTTTTTCTTTATGTATATTTTACAAATCACTCCCATATTCCTGAAAAGTTCGGTTTTAACATCAGATCTACAAGTTATTTACACAAAGAAGCTAAACCGGAGGGTTCATTAACATTACCATTACGAAATAAAATAATATAGTTTAGGGCTAACTAGAAAAATACACCAGAACTGATGGAGGACAAATTAAAACATGACTGACCTGCTTGGAGCATCGACGCTAACTGAAGCTGGACCCGGACGTGCGACAGCAAAATACACCTCCCGGGTACAAAATAAAGGTATGCATAAACAAACAAAGGCGGAACCAATTTACATGTGAAAAGAATATATCATTTTGGTGAAGTTCACAATAACAGCAAATAAAGATTTTCAAGTATACAATTAGCCAAAATAAAAAGTAATAGAATATAATTTATATTTTTATATCAGTTAGGCTATATATTGGGGGGGGGGGGACATTTTGAGCGTATCTGAATATTGAGGGGGATGTGTCCCCCCCCAATGTATATGGTGAATTCGGCCCTGATATTAGGGTCATGCAGTGAAGCTTGTTGCTTCTGCCCTGGGAGACGACAGAGAGTCATCCCCCTGTTTCCTCGACTACGGTCTGGGAGCCGACAGGAACGTTCAACACACAGATGGCCAGTCCGCCCTTTTGTAGCATATTATTTCGATGAGCAGATCGCTACTGGGCTTTCAACTAAAGACACAGCCACGCAGAAACTGCGGCATTTGTACAGCTCCTTATGGGTACTGCACAGGGCCGAATTCACCATATACATTGGGGGGGGGGGGACATCCCCCCCAATATTCAGATACGCTCAAAATATCCCCCCCAATATATAGCCCCACGGGTGGGAGCATTGGATTTGACAGGTTTTAAAGTATCCCATGTGTTAGTGAATTTTTATATATTTTTTTTATAAACTTATCTCGTGCCCTCATTGGTCATGTGCACATTCGTGTGTGTTGGAGGAGGGGCTCTGTAAGGAAGTGTGAAGGAAGAGGCAGATTTTTTCCGGTTGTGTATTTTCAAATTCTAGCGCACTCGAGCTGGTTTTTCCAAAATGACATACCCTACCTTTAAAGCATGGAGACATGTCAAAATAAAATTCAAACTTGAATCTGAACATTTGTACAATAGGTACCCCTTTAAGTCTCTTAAAGCCCCCCTCCCGAAAAAGCCATGATTGTCTTGCAAGAAAAAACCTGCTGCATATTGGCAAAGATATATTCAAGCCTTGGTATTAGATGGTGACTCTTGATTTGCATAACTAGTTTGAGTTGCTTAGCATTTAACATTGAATGGTTAGTTTGGGATATGTCGTCTAGCAGGAAGTTTGGCAAGAGCTTTTTTTTACCAAGTTTCGAGAGGCTACCATGTAGACACAATATCATGGGTGGAGATAGGGTAATAGCTAGGGGGCGCTAGATTCTGATAAGCGAAATCTGGTTCTGGTGAGCCAAATCTTCATCTTTTTGCTTTCCAACCTAGAAATCCCATATAAAGGACTGTGTTTTAAAAAATATGAATCCAGGATGAAGGAAGGAGAAGGATGGAAGAAAAAGAGAAGGCTGAGGAGAATCTTTTAACACATCTGCATTAGCAGCTGTCTGAAGAAATAGGCTTCTGCCAGACTGCAGGTACACTTGCATTCATTGCATGTGTTACATTTTTTTATAATTTTTAAATTAATTGAGACTCTTTAATCAGGTCAAACCCTGACTTAAAGGATTTACTAGTAGAAAATAAACCCTATTCCCCAGGTACCAGACTGACTCGTTTTGTACCAAAACCAGCTTTTGCGCTGAAAACAACTGAATATATTCTGTAAAATGTAAAAGACAATAAAATATGTTCAGGGCTGCAAAATGCTGTGTCCTTATGAGATCTTGTGGTTGTCTGTGCATGTGTGTACACATATTCAAAGCTAAATGTGTGTTGTGTTGCTCTGGTTTTCTGAGGCTCAGTGGAGTAAGTACAGAGTACAGTGGCTCAACTGTATGTTCACATACACGATATATCTCCTTTTAAAGTGTAAAAAAAAGTAATGAACGGGAAAACAGGAGACTTATTTTAAGACTGATCAGCCGGTCACACAGTGGGAGCCACTGCTCAGAAAATGACTATTTTTGGCAACAGGCTTAGTCACACTGCAGAATCCCAAACCCATAGGAGCTTTGTTTTTAGAGAACATACCAAGTTACTTAACAGATTCTTAAATAATGTGGTACACCGGAGGATAAACCTGTGACAGGTGTTGTTTCAACGGACAGGTGCTGATCCGCCCCAGTCACTTTTATAGTCAGTAATGCTTTGAAAGACAATAGAGGGCTACTAACCAAGCAGCATCCTGCTCATCTGAGCCCACAGAGCCCAGTCATGCATTATTCTCTCCGTGCTTTAACTCAACAGGAGTATCACGGTCGGCTGGCTTCTGTCTCTGACTTTACATCTGTGCTGTGGCAGAGGCTGTGTTCATGAACCCTTTGTTTTCCAATCCGTCTGAGAGTAATAACCTGAACCCGCAGAACACAAACCTGATCAATTACAGTCTGCAGGAGTCAGCAGGCTCACAGGCGGCAAACAAACTCCCCCCTCAAAAATATGAATCCATTCGATGCAACATTAAGCCTACGCCCGGAAAATTGGCTTCGTAGCGCACAGTAATAACCAGATACTGTGTCAGGGTTTTAATATGCATGGAGATAGTTGCAGCGTATGAATTCCTCATTCCTATTTCAACGGCTGCATGCTGTTTGGTGAGTAAGAAACGGCTTGTGGTTAGAGGGTCATTATGAGGACAACTGACAAACTACAGCCTGTCGACGGTAATTACCGTATCAGGGTTCTACACACTT